TCCTCCTCCTCCTCCTCCTCCTCCTCCAAAACTGCATAGATTCTTGATTTGGAGCTGTCTTGTCAGTGTTTAAGTTCAACTTATTCACCCTCATCCATTAACGTAGAAGGAGCCTCCCCTTAGAGTGGAAAAGCATGCACCTTGAGATTCCCTGGGCAACTGCATGTAGCTGGCAAATCCTTCAGTTCCAGAAGCATTAAACTGTAAATTTGCTGGTTCTTCTTTTATACACATAATCTCATTATCTTAACATCTTAATTTGTTTTTAATTTTGCCTGAATTTCACATATGTCCATATTCCTACATGTTGCATGCCCTGATACAAATAAAGAAAGAGATCCACGATCAAGCTTTTTTGGTGTTGAAATGTCCTGATTCCTTTGGTGTTGGATAGCAAGGAACAGTAGAGTTGGATGTCTTCAGTATATTGTAGTACCTCACTCCAACCTGTTGATTGTACCCTGGAAGAAAATATTGGAATAAATGGAATACAATGCTTCCAGGACCCAATCTAGTTAGATAGCCCAACAGGATACCCTGGTCAGTAGTATCAGGCGTCAAAATATTCAGAACCAGTATGATTGCATTACCTTATCCACTGCCATCAGTTAGATGAAATTTTCTGTCTGCACTGAGTTTATGCTGTTTACTTTGTCTGCATTCAGAATAGATGTATGCAGCTAGTCAGAATAAGTCCATGTGCTTACTTTTAAATTGTAGCCAGTGTAAACCCCTACGGAGTGGCAGCCTGATTAATATGGTCTGTTCCAGCTGCCTTATGGACCCAAATGGTTTCCTGAATGTGATTGGAAAGCTTGCTATTTCATGTGTCACCCTTAATATCAAGACCCTGACAGATCTTTGGAATACAAAAAACTGACTAGGGTTCCAAAACACTCCCTCCTCAATTGTTGGGCCAGGTAATATATAAAGAAGTGTTCTATCAGACACATTATTTGGGGATATTAGAAATACTGTTGTAGAATATGCATTTTAGCAATACTGTTGAAATCAGTGGTCAGTCCAAATCGTAACCATTAAATTCTGCTGAAGGTAATGAAAAAGGTTGAAAAACATCCTAATAAATGCACAGTAAATGTTAGATTTGATAGTGCCTATGCATTCAACACAGAAATGTTAAAGTAGTTATCGTAATTGGTCCATTCTGAGCTTTTTAACATCTCGCTTCTTCCAATTGTGAGCCACATAGTCTACAGATTCTTTAGGTACTGTA